GCTCCCTGCAGGGCTTAGGCTGGGCTGAGGGGACACCCCCCCACCCAGTGCACAAATGTCGTGCACCGGGCCTCTAGTATACATAATAAATTAGATAGTCATCAAGGTGGTATTCTCCTGCTGCAAGCTTCACAGAATTGTAGAAAGTGGTCACAGTCAGATGGGACTATAAATCGTCTATTTGAATTCCTCCTTTTATGGAGGAAGATCCCACAGGGTAGGTGGGGTGCCCTCAGTCAACCAGCAGAGTGGGCGGCAGAGCACCCTCAGGGATGGCACCTTGGCAAAGCTAAGAAGAAAGGAAGTTAAAGCAGTGCTCTGTGTTTTGCAGAAGGCTGGGGCTGGGTAGCGCCTTGGAAGACACCCAAGTCCAGATGAGGAAACCGAGTCTCAGGGAGCGTAAGGGTGTTGGTCAAAGTCACACAGTTTCCCACGCTCATGTCATCATGCCACCTGCCTCACAGTTAGCTTTAGGTTTTATGTGACTATTATCATCTGGAAGCATTCCAGGGGCTTTTATTGTTATTTCTTTAAACACAAACAATCCCCATGTTCATTGTACTAGTTCAGGGTCAGCAAAGATGCCAGGAGGGCCGATTGCTCCAGGAAGGAGACCATCTCTGGAAGAGCAGCTGCAATTGACATCACCAGCTGATGAAGCCTGTGGTAATCCCGCGTCATTTTTCAGGATCTTGTGTCCTTGTCCATCTTGATGATGAAATAGGAATGGGATGGGAAGTGTTATTCACGCCTCTTGCAATCTCTGATAGTAGCAGATCCCACGTGGAGGCAATATTTGCTATTTCAGTGGGTAGGAGTAGCTAGAGGAGTGTCCTTTTAACCATAATGTCCCACATTTTACAGCTCAAGGAGTATATATTCTGTGCTGCTAACTGTATCTCAACTCCACATTCAGGACCTGGTTGAATAATCGCTGGGTAGGTCTGGAGTCCTGCTGGGCCTACAGGGAGATGGACATTGACAAATCTCATTTATCACCTAACATCCCGCAGTCTCATTCTGATTGGTGGGCCACAGTAGATTCTGGGACCCCTGGTATTAGTGTCCAGTATTCTCCAACTACACATCCTACTCCAGGGACAATATTTCTCTCCTTTCAGTTGGCTCTAGGAGGAAGGATACTATCTCTTCATTCACTGCTTTAGACTCCAGAGCTAATGTAGTTCCTGACATAGAGTAGGCCCTCAGTATATATCTGTGAATGAATGGATGGGTAATAGGTATGATTCCTTCTGCTCCTGTTCCTAGGGCAGTGGTTCTCAACCTGTGGGTCGTGACCCCTTTGGCGGTCTATGACCCTTTCACAGGGGTCACCTAAGACCATCCTGCATATCAGATATTTACATTATGATTCATAACAGTAGCAACATTACAGTTATGAAGTAGCAACGAAAATAATTTTATGGTTGGGTCACAACATGAGGAACTGTATTTAAAGGGCCAGAAGGTTGAGAACCACTGCCCTAGGGTGATGCGGACTCCAGAGTCATGATGTCAGACTTTTTCTCTCGTGAATTGATGTTTTGCAGCCACAGCCTGGCTGTTAGTGCAGCTCAGTGCTTCAGGGCTTCGACTCTGACTCCTGGTCACACACACTGCGCTGCCTTGTTCTCACCATTTCCCCTCTTTAGGTTTTCATTGTCATCTCCGCCCCTCCCTTCTCTGCAGATAATTTTTCTTCCCGCTGTATTATAAAATTTTAACACCCACGTTATTAAGAACCGTCTCCAACTCATTGAAAAATAGAGAGCTCAACAGAACAAAACCAATAAGCCAGAGAAAGACCTTAATGTGCATATGAAGGAACTGATCTATAATGAAGGAGAGTTCTGGGCTTCGCAGAAGAGGCGAGAAGGAAAACAGAGCTATAGGCAGAGTCCTAGGGAGGAGAGTGGTGCATGGTGACTTGTGGGAAGGAGGCCTCAGGCTGTGCAGAACAAAAGGCGCCACACTCCATTTTGTCCATTTAAATGATATGTGTGCACACATATAAAATTTATCACATGTAAATATACACATATACATACACATCATATTAAATATGTGTGTATAATATATAATTCTGAAATATATTCAGTTAAGATTTATGATGTACAGATAGAATAGGTAGTAGGTATGTGGTTCCAAATGCACACTGTGCGAATTGCGTCTCTGATACCCAGTTCTGCACCCACCCACCTCCCCTCCACAGCGTCAGCAGCTTCCTTCAGGAGATGTCGGAGCTGTTCTTGGCACATATATGCAAACACCTACGTATATATATTTGCCCCTCTTTTCTTTTATCTCCACAAATGGTAGTAATACTATACCACGTGTTATGCGCCTCGGTTTTTCTCTGCAATAATAAGTCTTAGAGATATTTTCATATCATACATAAAGAGCACATTTATTTCTAATTTAATCCGTCTCCTGCTGATGGACATTTGAGTTGTTACCAATTTTTTAAAATTACAAACAAGGCTGTGATGGATACTTTTGTGCCATTTTGCAAATGTAAGCATATCTACTGGACAAATGTTTAGAAGTGGACTTGCGGGTCAGTGGAGATGTGCATTTGTCATTTTGACAGATATTGACAAAGTGCTCTCCCATCAGTCATGTCAAAGTGCCTGTTTTCTAACACCCTTACCACCACCACCACCACCACGTCTAACACTCACTTTTAAGTTGTTTCCTTTCTGTGCTGTAACCTCCCTCTGCTATGTCAGTAAAAGTCTGTATCACACAGTAACATGGGCTTTGGGAATGAAGAAGAAAGCACTATCAAGTGCATGAAGGGAAGCAGGGCCAGAGGCAAATAGCATGTGCTGGAGATAAGATGGTAAAAACGAACAAGCCTTAAGAAACTTTTTGCAAGAAGTGACCACCCCCCCCCCAAAGAAAAATCCACATGATTTCCCTGAAAAATTTAATCCGCCTGGGAGTTGCTACAACACGTGTGATAGATGCTAGCATGATTAATTCTGTTATTAAAAAACCTGGGCTTATAATTCAAGATTGTTTATAGCAGGATAACTTAAAATGTTCTGGGTCATTAGTACCTTTGAGAATCTGAGCAAACCCATGTCCTCTCTAGCCAGAAAAATGCACATGCTCACAAGATTTTAACCACTTTAGCAGGTTCATGTATGGGCTGGAGGCATCCAGGGAACCTAGGCTAAGATGTACTGGGATTTGATAGTTTCTGACATTAACGCTTTAAGCTGTTTATCAAAACTCGGAATGAACTACTAGTGGCTATCTCATTTTATGTCTCCATTAACTAGGGGGTGACCTATGAGGAAACGTTTTTCATATCAAATGTTAAGTGCAGGCATACTTTGGAGATATTGCATGTTTGGTTCTAGACCACCATAATAAAGGGAGTAGCACAATAAAGCAAGCCCCAGTCATTTTGCTGGAGGAGGGTCTTGTCTTGTTAAAAAAAAAAAAAAAGCAACACCTGTGAAACGCAATAAAGTGGAATGCAATAAAATGAGGTGTGCCTCTACACCACCGGTTCCCAACCTTTTTTGGGCCATGCCCCACCTAAACATCTCTAAAATCCTGATGCTCCTCTTCCCCGTGACAAATAATTCTTATTATTCAAAAAGTGAACTCCTATTCATGTGGAGGAAGCCTAAAAGAGCATTAACTTGGTCTAAACAAGCTTCCAGGAAAGAGAAAAATAAAAGAACGAAAGGACAGTTGAAGTACTGAGAAAGAAAGCACTAAGAAATTGTTAAAAAATCATAATTCAAAGTGATATAAAAAAATAGCAAAGTTTCAAAACATATCATAGAGAACTGAAATGCATAAATATATTACAATATGTATTTATATACTGCATATGAGGCCCCTAGAACCATAAGAAATGCAAAAAATTCACTGTTAACTCAGTCTCAAACTGCCCCCTTAAAAATCAAATTGCCCCCCCCACCCCCCGGTGGGGCCCATGTTGGGAACCACTGCTCTACACAAAACTGACAATAATAAGATTACTGAGAAGGCAGGAAGGGTTAGAAGTCAAAGAACAGGACATGTGTTTCACCTGAGATCAGAGACACAGTGTCTACAAGTTTGTCCCTTATCAGCAACATCTATTTCACCTGGTGACTTGATACAAATGCAAACATTTGGGCCTCATCAAGATCTACACAGAATCAGAAGTTCTGTGGGTGGGGCCCAGAAATGCTTTCTCAAGCACTCTAGAGTCTAGGTGATTCTGATGCTAAAGTTTGAGAAAAACTGCGCTAACGTAAATGGAAGGAAGTGGGGAGCTGGCGCTCAGGTATCTGGTGGTTGGATTTGAGAGCCTGGAGCTTCCCAAGTCATAAGAAATCACCTCGAGATCAGAGGATCTGGTCTGTTTTCTCAGGTACAAGAAGGAAGTAATCCATAGCCTTCTCTTTTCCAAAGGGTGGGCAACCCGAGGAGCAGGCTTCTGAGCCCTTTGGTTACCCACGTCCACCTGGGCTTCGGAGGGCGTCAGAAGAAAAAGGACGAAGGAAACGGGGAGAGGGCAGTGAAGAAATGACGAGAGCCCAGGGCCCCAGAGCCCACAAATCTGCCACTACAGCCCAGGTAGGTCCTCCTGATCGGTCCAAGACCCCAATCCCCACACACCGTAAAAGGATGGACAACCCGCCCGTCACCCACTCCTACTTCCGGGCTCCAGCCAATAGGAACTCAAACTGCTCAGCCAGTCAGCGCCAGGGACTTCTTCCGGCGTCCTTCGTGCTGCCCTGGAGACCGGCTGGGCGAATCCAAATGCGGAGGGGTGCTCAGTTCGCGATGCCGGACGCTGACGCTTAGAGCCCCGCCTCCCTCCACCACTTTCTGCCCCGGTCCAGCGTCGGTGGACTCGTCCGAAGGCTGGGCGCGAGCCCTTTGTGTTGAGGGAGGTGCTCTACCCGCTCACTTCCAGCCAATAGGAACCGAAACTGTTCAGCCAGTCAGTGCCCTGCGCTCTTTCTGGCGTTCTGCGTGCTGCCCTGGAGACGGGATGGGCGAATCCAAACGCGGAGGGGCGCCGGACGCTCACGGCCTTACGCTGCTACCGCGCGTCCCGCTTTGCTCCCTTGCTTCGCCCCCGGTTTGGGGCCAGTGGACCCGTCCCAAGGGGGCTAGGATTCGAGACCTGCGCACAAGGGGGGAGCGGTCTGGCTGGTCGGAGGTATCTCCTCCAGAGACCCGGTGAGTGGCAGTTTTAGGGGCGTAAGTCTGGATTCGGGACTCCCTCAGCCGACGCGATAGAGACTGTGGGTCTGGAGGGGCGCTGCCCACCTACTCACTCTTTTTCCCTCTCTCGCCATCCCTCGGCCCGAAGTCAGACCGAGCTCAGCCTGCAGGGAATGCGGTCTGTAAAGTGCTGCAGGAGGCGCACTTGTTGAAGGACTTAGCAAAATGCCTGGCCGCCTTTTGGGTCTTGGGGAAAGGGTGACACGGCATGAGGTTCGCAAAGGTGAGCGAGCATCCCGAGGCCGAATTAAAACTGCTTGCCAGGCCCGGATTCCAGAGTTTCTGATTCCAGAGGTCTGGAATGGGGCGCGAGAGTTGGTTTCTATCCAGTTCCCAGGTGTCGCTGATGCAGCTAGTGCGGGAGTTAAAGGGCGGGGATGATGGAGGGGAGGATCCCGGTCTTCACCTGCGTGCCCCTGACTCGTAAATGCCTCCTTTGCTTGTAGGTGTGATTTGCTCTGACTTCTGGCTTTTCGGATGATATCTAGGTGAACTTGTAGATGAAAAGAGAGAGAAAAGATGCACCACGCTTTTAGAAAACGTGCAAGACTAAATTGTCTGGGATTCCACACGTGGGTGGGAAAACTATGAAGAAACCCAAGGAAGTGATAACTGTGAAAGTAAGGAGAGCGGTTACTTTTGGGGAGCAGGCGGAGCTGTGATTCCCTTAGGCTCATGGAGGGATTTCTGGGGTGGCCGCCAAGTGCTATTCCTGACCTGGGTGGTGATGACAGAGGTGTACCTCTTACCATAATTCAGTAAACTCTATTTTGTGGGATTTTCTGTATTTGTGTTTCATTTTACAACTTAAGAGGTAATAAAATTTTAAAAATTCATAGTGGGAAGTCTGTTGTGAGGCATGCCCTTAGACTGAGTCAAAAAGAATCTTAAATTCATGGAATTTCAAACTTGGAAGATAACTTAGAAGATCACCTTGAGTTTGAGGAATCAATTATTCATTTTACATAAACACTTAAGCATCTTTATCTGGATGTATCCTAATGTAGACAATTTGTAAACATTTAAGTAAGGTCTCTCTATTTCTGGTTCAATATCTTCTTCATTTTAACACTGTTTAATTTAATCACCCAGCTGGTGTGGCTCAGCGGTTGAGCGTCGACCTGTGAACCAGGTGGGGTTTGTAGGAGGCAGCTGATTGATGACGCTCTTTCATCATTGATGTTTCTCTCTCTCTCTCTTTCCATTCCTCTCTGAAATCAATGAAAATATTAAAACATATATTAAAAAATCTTGATTTCGCAAACTTTTCCTGTAAAGGGCCAGATAGTAAACATTTGAGTGTGTGAGCAGGCCATGTGGTCTCTGCTACAACTGCTCAACTCTGACATTGTAGTGTGAAAGTGGCCTTAAACAACATATTAATGAATTGGGCATAGCTGTGCTCCAGTTAAACTTTATGTACAAAAACAGGCAACAGGCTGAATTGGCCCAGGAACCAGTAGTTTGCTGAGCTCTGACTTCGAATAATATTGATTTGTACAGTATCTGTGGAGTAGATGGAAATGCTGTCATTTCCATATTTGTTTATGAAGTATTTTTGCGTACATTGTTTCATTTCTTTCTCTACAGATATGCTTTCCATTGTAGCAAAGGTATCAAGATACACTGCCTGAAATTGCATTCATCTCATGATTTGTGTTGTTTTGGAGACAGCTGTCATTTTCATTGTTTTTGTTAAGATCTTTAGGAAGTTGAATATTGGTTTATGAACTGTTTCTTTTATTTATTTTTCCCATATTTTTTTTCATCCTACAAAAAGACACTGGTATTCAACACTTACTTGTAGGTGTTGCATACCAGTGAATCTTATGAATTTATAGAATTATTAGATTTATTTATTTACATATTAAATATCCTGGGCTAATTATTCATACGACTAGCTTGCATTTATGTGTGTCATTTTTGTTTACATTTTAGGAGCTAGAGATGCTATTAGGCGGTCCTTCTATCAAGTGTGAGAAGTTGGCCCGGAGATGCAAAACTTCGTTCTATACGAGGAGATCGGCAGAGGAAGCAGGACCATTGTCTATAAAGGGCGACGGAAGGGAACAATCAATTTTGTAGCTGTTTTTTGCACAGATAAGTGCAAAAGGCCTGAAATAACGAACTGGGTAAGTCAAGTATGTTTCCTTCCCTCTGGCAAAAGACAGCTCTGATGTGGTAGAATAAGTAGTATGTAAATAGAAGCCGTGGAACTCACTATAGCAGGTGCCACGTTTTCAATCGACTGGGGGACCTCTCTGTGCCCGTTTAGTGCCGCCAGTCCTGACTAATGACTGATAAACATGCCCACGTCATTAACAGCGTAAGAGTTTCGTTTGTTTTGGTGAGAGTCGGGGAAAATACGGTCTGTATTGGTTCATTTACTTTTAAATTTAGTATGTGATTATGAAGCTTTCCAAAGGAAGGACTTTGGGCGAGGGTGACTTGGGTTTGAATTAGCTGTGCCACTTTACAGCCCAGGCTCCTTGGACCAAACCTGACTTTTTTTTTTCCCCTCAACTTTTTTTGTTTATTGTGGTAAAATACACATAACACAAAATTTACCATCTTAACCTTTTTTTTCGCTTTTGTTCCTCCTCACTCGATGTTTTTTCAATTGATTTTTAGAGAGAGTGGAAGGGAGAAAGGGAGGGAGGGAGGAGAGGTAGATAGAGAGAGACATCAATGTGAGAGAGACACATCAATTGGTTGCCTCTCGTATGTGCCCCAGCTGGGGTCGGGGATCAAACCTGTGAACCAGGTACATGCCCTTGACCAGGGATTGAACCTGAGACCCTTTGTTGCATGGTCGACACTCTAACCACTTAACAATACCAGCCAGGGCTACAATAGCTTTTTTGATGTAAACCTTTTGGCCATTTTCCTATGAATAGTATTTCTTTTTTTGCAATATTATATTTACCCAAAATACACAAAACTATATTACACAAGTTTTGAAAAAAATCATTTTTAAGATTGTATGTTTCCATGCGACCAGCCTTCATAACCATCATTTTGATGTCCATACAGAATTCCACCCAATGAATTCTATTATTTTCTTATCCATTTCCTGATTGTATATTTAGGTTTTTTTTTTTATTTTTTTAGAATATATTTTGATTGATTTCAGAGAGGAAGTGAGGAGAGAGAGAGAGAAACATCAGTGATGAGAGAGAATCATTGATTGGCTGCCTCGTGCACGTTCTGTACTGGGGACTGAGTCTGCAACCCAGGCATATGCCCTGACAGGGAATTGAACCAGTGACCTCTTGGTTCCTGGGTCGACGCTCAGCCACACCTGGCTGGGCTATTTAGGTATTTTTTAATAGATGCAAGGGTTTTAAGAACTTTTCTTAAAAAGTGTGTATGTTGTGTGTTTTTATAGGTCCGTCTCACCCAAGAAATTAAACACCAGAATATCGTAACCCTGCACGAATGGTATGAAACCAGCAATCATCTCTGGCTGGTAGTGGAGCTCTGCACAGGTAAGCCACGTTATGTGGTTTTAAAAAAAACGTCAGATGTAGGTTTTGTTATTTTCCTTTCTTCTTTTACAGGTACATGTTGATACTGTTGACTATGTTAACTTGAAAATCTGTTGTTCAATGGATATCAGGGAAGGGGAAGGGCTAAGATATTTGATAAGAGGGAGATTTATATAATATTCAATTTGGGGTTAACTTTACTTTGGTATAAAATATTACCAAATCACTTATGTGAAAACTTAGAAATATTTTTGAGTAGTAATTAGTTTATCAAATAACTTTTTCCATTCAGTAGAAACTAAGTATTTTAGGTCAATTAGCTATTATTTAGCTTATTAGTTTATAAAATGTTTTTTTTTTTTTTTAATGAACAGAATACTTGCTCTTTATAAAAACAAGCAATGTGGAAAAGTACAAGGATGAATCAGCAGATCCCATCACCTAGGTGTAATCAGAGATCACATGTTATAGTTCTTGTTTGATACGGCTCTCTAGGACAGTGATGGCGAACCTATGACACGCGTGTCAGAGGTGACACGCGAACTCATTTTTTTGGTTGATTTTTCTTTGTTAAATGGCATTTAAATATATAAAATAAATATCAAAAATATAAATCTTTGTTTTACTATGGTTGCAAATATCAAAAAATTTCTATATGTGACACGGCACCAGAGTTAAGTTAGGGTTTTTCAAAATGCTGACACGCCGAGCTCAAAAGGTTCGCCATCACGGTGCTGTCCTCTCCTCTGTTTTTACTCTTTTTACTTATGCTCTCCCCTCTGTCTGAAGTGCCATGTCCCCTGCATGTCACCAGACTGACTCTTGCTCCTTTAAAAAGACTCAGCTCAGCCCCTACCCTCATTCCATCCCATCCCAGGCTAGGAGACTTCCCTGGAATCCCGAGTCCCTGCCTGAGTCACCGTCCCAGTACTTAACCCTTTGACTGGACTTGGTGATTTCTCCCACTACCAGGGGTGGGCAAACTTTTTGACTCGAGGGCCACAATGGGTTCTTAAACTGGACCGGAGGGCCGGAACAAAAGCATGGATGGAGTGTTTGTGTGAACTAATATAAATTCAAAGTAAACATCATTACATAAAAGGGTACGGTCTTTTTTTTTTAGTTTTATTCATTTCAAACGGGCCGGATCCGGCCCGTGGGCCGTAGTTTGCCCACGGCTGCCCTAGTTGTCATTTCATTTTCTGAATCAGTAGGGTACTGTGGTCTAAATTACTTCCACAGACGTGCACACGGTTGAGGTGAGCAGGGGACTTCCTCCGTGTTACTTTTTTTTGCTTCAGCTGCTGTTTCTGCCCCATGACCAGTGTAATAACCCAACTTTAATTTATGCCTGTGTTTGCCGTGGTTCCTCACCCACCAAGACAAAATAAACAAAGCCCAAAACACCTGCTAGCTTTGTCATGGTAATTCTGATTGAACTTCGAGATGCCACCTAAGACTTCACTGTCTCTGAATTTGGCTCTTGATTTAATCTTGACCCTAAAAAAAAGAAACAAACAAAAAAAAAACCATGTTTGTTTCTGGATCTTAGATGATAGAAATGTGACTGGGACCTCCGAAGGGTATAGAAATAGAATTCCCCACGTGACTGCCTTAGGCCCATTATTTAATTCATCAGGGTTTGATTTTCTAACGGTTAAGGAAAGGCACCATCTTTTTTGCTATGCAGCACTTTGCAGAATGCGACCTAACTTTGTACAGAAGCAAATGTGACTATACTTTGCGTCATGTGATTTAAATGCAGATTGCGTTAGTGTTTCAAACAAATCTTTGCAGCCAGTCATTTCCCAAGGGAGCTAGAGTGAGACATTCACAGCACCAGGGTGATTGTCACTCCCTGCATCCCACCCACCTCCTTACTGACCAGCCATGCAGACTGAGCAGTCGGTCCCCTGAGCTGGCCTGGAGCAAGGACACAGGTTTCTGATAGTCTGACAGGGCGCTTGTCCATGGTGTGCTCCCTCACAGGTGTGCTTCCCCTGCTAGGCTGTCCAGGGGTCCTGATGTGATCATTTTTTTCATGCTCAGTGTCTCCCACCATGGAACCCGCTGGAGGCTAAAATGGGTGATTTTAATCGACTTGCAGGTGGTTCCTTAGAAATGGTCATCGCTCAAGATGAAAACCTCCCGGAAGATGTTGTGAGAAGCTTTGGGATTGACCTGATTACTGGATTGCATCATCTTCATCAACTTGGCATTCTCTTTTGTGACCTTTCTCCTGGGAAGGTAATTCGTCAATATTTTGATTTCCTAATCGCTTGTGCCTTAGTTAACGGTGCTTTCTCAATGGTACATTTATTTTTAGATATAATTTTAGGTATAGAACATCTTGAAATTTTGCGTTAACATCTCTATATAAAAGGCTGATATGCTAAGTGTCCATCCGGGTAATGACATCACGTACCAACGCCCGGCTTCCTCTACCTAGTGACTAGCCTCCTTGGTTTCTTCAGCCCAGGAACACGACTTGCTTTATAACCAGGTGGGAACATTTCACACTTTACCCAAATGTCTGTGAAGTGTTTTCCCGTGCCTCATCTCATTTGATCTTCACAGAAGTCCTGGAGTAGGTAGATAGGAGACTCGGTGGAATCCTATTTTCTTTTCATTAGCCAGAAAACGGAGATTTAGAAAGCTTAGAAACTTGACCCGACTGAAAAGAAGAAAGAAATGGTGGACCTTAAAAATGACTCCAGGTGTTTTCACTGCACAGAATATAGTAAAACACTACTGCAGTTAAATATTTTACCCTTCATTCTCCCTGCATGATCTACAATAATAATCTGCTTTGTGTTGATATTTACTGCTGTGTTGTTGATAATGACCTGAAAGAGAAGTTGGGGTGCTTCACTGGGCTGGAAAAAGTTTAGCTAAGTCAGAAAGCAGGTCTAATTAAGCAAGTTTGTTCTATATCTATAAAAGGCTAAGTTGACTCACGCATGCACGATACTTATAAAACACTCACTGGGTGCTAATCGCACACGTGTGTTTCCATCTGTCATTGTCGATCATGAATTTGGTTGACACTTCTATTATGGAGAAAGGGCAAATAGCAATATTAAAATATTTCTACCAGTTAATTTCCTTTCAATGTGCATGAATTTGTGCACCGGGCCACTAGTTTTTTAATAAAAAGAAACTCTATTTTAGCTACCTAGTTAGCTACCCATTGAAGTCCTTGTAGAATGCAGTTTCCTCTCCTTTCAGAGCTCTGTGAGTAATTATTATTGCTGCTGACCTGTATTGTGAATGGTGAGGTCCATAGCTCTATGAAATAATTCTTAATTCTTATAGTATACAATTATGAGCCATTACTTTAGTTTGCTAATGGAATTTTTGGCTATTATGGATCATATATTTTCTTTTTGGGCTAAGCTAATCATCCATAACTAAATGTGCTTCAGTGTAGTTGTCATGAAACCTGCCTAGTTTCCTGGTCATAGTTGACACTGACATTTAGGAGCCCTGTTCCAGGGACAAACTCCTCTCTCTCTCTCTCTCTCTCTCTCTCTCTCTCTCTCTCTGCCTTAGTTTCTTGTCTCTAATATAAAAAAGGGAATTTCAGGGCGAGTGTAAGGCTTACATGTTGTTTTTAGGAGAAGCTTCTGGGACACTTTTTGGTGCACAGTGTGCCCTCAATCAGGTATCAGTTATCTTTACAAATACATACTCTTAGGGATTGTATTGATTATGGCTCTGAGTTGCTACTGTCCCTTTGTTAATGTGTACACAATGAGATGGAAAATTGAATGTTTCCTTGTTAAACGTTATTCGAAGCCGTCTGTATGAGAACATAATTAAACCTTAAAAAAAATCCATAAAACTCCTCGTAACAGATAAAAATCCTTGTTTGAAATATTCATATACTGGCCTGAAGTCTACAGCCATTTAATTGTGGTTACAAGCCTGAAAGCAGCCATAGGCAGTATATAAATGCACAGGTGTGGCTTGTTTCAATAAAACTTTATTCATGATCATTGACATTTGAATTTTATATAATTCTCACGTCAAAAAATATTATCTTATTGCAGTTTTTTTCAACCATTTAGAAATATAAAACCACTCTTAGCTCATGCCTGTGCAGAAACAGGTGCTGGCTGGGATTTGACCGAGGGGCCGAGGCGTGCCAACCCCTGTGTGGGAGGTGTTTGATGAGGTCTAGTATCAGCTGTTTATACTAGTAATGGGACATTCAGGCTGACTTGTAATGTAACTTTTATTCCAGATCTGGGGTTGGCAGAGTCCGGGCAGGATGCCCGTTCCTGTAAGTGAGGTTTTATTGGAACATAGCCACACCCTTTTTGTTCTATATTGTTGGTGGCTACAGAGTTGAGTAATCAGGACAAAGACCTTATGGCTTGCAAAGTCTGAAAGATTTACTAACTTGAAAAAAATTGCTGACCCCTCTCACTGGTTCTCAAAGTGTGTTCCCTGGACCAGCAGCATTAGTGTTACCTGGGACTCATTGGAAATGTGGGTTCTTGGACCCATCTGAGACCTGTGGAATCAGAAACTCTGGGAGTAGGGACTAGTAGTTCTTCTTAACAGATCTTCCAGGGGCTTCTGGTGCCCAAACACTTTTAAAAGTCACTGGGGACTTGTAACAGACATCCTTAGTATTTCTGATTAGAAGTTAAGGGCAAACTTTAAATTGTCTTTAAAAACAAAAAGCCAGCTGACTCATTGCAACTTCCCATAAATATTTTTAATGGCTCTGGAGAAAAAATTAAAAGTAGCAGGACACTGGTTCCTGGCATGGTTTCAACACTCAACAGATAACTTCTAGTCACAACTTATTAGCAGACGTGAGCACTTAGCACATGCCAATCGCTATTCAGAGCCCTTTGCACGCGTAACCTCAGCTATTCCTTACCACGGTCTGCAGAGTTAAGTGTGCTTTGTTCATTTTATAGGGGAAGAGAGTGAGATTTAGGAAGGTTAAGTAGATTCTCCAGGTCAGATTGCCTGTGAGAGTTTTAGGCCTCTAACTTCAGAGCCTTAGTCTTAGCCATACATTATATAAACAACACCTGACAGGTGTGCTTTCAGAGCCTCCCTCAGTGTCAGTAGAGCGTACGATTGCTCCATATACACTGCTCTTAAGAGCCCGAGGTTTCCCTCTGTGGTTATGTGGTGTGTTCATTATATACATCTGAGAGCGAACAGTTTAATATTTGATTCCATTATTATTAAAATGTTGGATTTCTTTAGCTGCTTTAAAAAAATTTTTTTTTCTAATATATTTTTATTGATTTCAGAGGAAGGGAGAGGGAGGTACGGAGGGAGAGAGAGAAACATCAATGATGACAGAGAATCATTGATTGGCTGCCTCTTGCTCGCCCCCTACTGGGGATCGAGCCCACAACCCGGGCATGTGCCCTCGACCGGAATCGAACCTGGGACCCTTCAGTCTGCAGGCCAACACTCTATCCACTCAGCCAAACTGGCTAGGGCTGTGGTCGGCAAACCGTGGCTCATGAGCCACATGTGGCTCTTTGGCCCCTTCAGTGTGGCTCTTCCACAAAGTACCACGTGCGGGCGCGCATGTACAGTGCGATTGAAATTTCATGGCCCATGCGCAGAAGTCGGTATTTTGTGGAAGAGCCACACTCAAGGGGCCAAAGAGCC